CCCTAAACCACAACATCAAGGTTTAGATCTTTCAATTGTAGGCTCAGACCACGCCCATTTTACCATCACAGAGGCACCGAGACACAAACACGAGCCCTCACAACCCAACAGATCAAGGTCACTTCACTGGAACCAAAACAAGGACTGCCTACCTTCGGTCGATTACTCACACTAAGGAGAATCACACAAGAACACGATTATCACAAAGATAATCAACCAGAAATCTCATAAAGAGAAGAAGGAAGGATCATAAAGACAGAGAACACGAAGGTTCCAGAAGGCAGAGAGAAAAACAGAAAACAGAAATGACGATCCAAGTGCCAAACAGGGGCTAAGGATGATATTTATAGGTAATATCATCAACCGTTGATCAGCGGGTCAATCCAACGGTCCAAGAGCGACTAAGATGTGTGGGCTGGGTATTGGGCTCGGTTAAGTGGGCCTTCTAGGTATATAATTAATGGACCAAGTATTAAATCCATATTTGGGCCTTTTCATCATTGCCTAATAGTTGGACTGGATCAAATGGCATCACAGCCCAACAGGCTTGATTTATCATATGCAGTACGGGTCCTCGAGTCACCAAAACAATCCCATTTGGAAGCGATGCACCATGTATTGAGATACTTAAAGTGGACGTCTGGACAAAGCTTATTTTTTAGTAGCAAATTTGATCTACAGCTTAAAGGATTTTGTGATGCATATTGGGCAGCTTGCTTGGATACAAGAAGGTCAGTTACAGGCTATTGCATATTTCTAGGAAATGCACTTGTGCCTTGGAAGTCTAAGAAACAACACAGGGTGTCAAGATCATCAGCTAAAGCAGAATATCGTTCCATGGCAGCTGCAATTTGTGAATTGAGTTGGTTGAAAAACATAATCAGTGATTTGAGTGTTGCTACACACTAAGGCGGCATTGCTTTTCTGTGATAATCAATCCGCCATACATATAGCCAACAATCCAGTGTTCCATGAAAGAACGAAACACATAGAAATTGAGTGTCATCTTGTAAGGGATAAAATGCGGGCGGGAGAAGTAAAAATGTTACATATGGCTTCACAAGGTCAACTGGCAAATTTATTAACTAAACCGTTAGGGAGAGCCAAATTCAAGTCATTATTAGACAAGATGGAAATACTAAACATATATTCTCCATCTTGAGGGAGAGTATTAAGTTATGTTAGCCTAAGGGCATTTAAGTCTTTGTACAGCATTTTCTATTATAGATCGGTTTGCTGCTAGTTGCATCTTTGTATATATACACACTTGTACAGTTCAAATTTATGTAATGTGAATTTAGATTTCTTTCCCGTCATATTCTCTCACCCTCTCAATTCTAGAATGTCCTATAGCTAACTTCTCGTATTTCACTTCAATTCCATTAATTAAACAATGACATTGTTTTATATTTATTATTTTAGAACTTATTTTTACCACAGTAGCTTTTCTTAAATCGTTAATATTTGATTCTAATATATTCTTAAATCAAATTAAAGTTTTAGAATTTTGTTTACTGATTTTTTGAAATTCACATTGTTGAAATTAACAATAACATAATAATTCATACATGTATTGAAAAAATTACAATATTTCATTAGCTCTTACAATTTTACATAATTATTTTTAAATGGGTATTTTCTTCAAAATATATGTTTGAGTTTTGCAAAGACAGTAGGCCCACATGAGTTAAACAGTCCAAGTATGGAGGGACCACCTCGTCATAAGATTCCATTTCAGGTCCATTTAAACAGTCCAGGCATGGAAGGGACCACCATGTCTTAAGGGAAAAATTCTGTAATTTCCACTTGTCTTAAAACACTTTTAGGGCCCATTGCTCAAGCAGACCAAGTACAGTTCAACACACCACGGAAACTTACACAAGAAGCACAAAAATGGAACAGAAATTTTTTGTACTCTTACAAATTAGAACCAACTTTTGTGGTTACTAATTGCTTGTTTGGGTTTTCGTTATAACGAGATTATAATGAAAAAAGTAATGAATACACGAAATTTGTGGTATCTCTGGACATGTTAAGTTCACTTTTATAGTTCTATGTCTAATTTTGTTATTAATATAACATGTCAATTCGAGTGATTTAACTAAAAAAATGTAAAATTTGTAAATAATTGAAGAAAAATGCCTCATTTAACAATGAGATACAACAACAAAGAAGAATCTTCAAGCCATACTCACGTTGTCAATAGCAAGCTCGTGCATAAAACCGAATAGAAACGTTTCACTTATTTGCACAACTATAATCGTGACTAGTCTCTACTTCCCTTTGCAATGGGAAGAGACTAGTGTTGTGGCTGCTTTTGAAGCACATTTTGATGTTAAAAAAGCTTTTATTCAGTTAGTCAAGATCTTATATCACAACATCATATGCAACTTTAGTGTGCACCATATTATCGAGAGTAATATTCCATATTGATTAAGTAGGAAATAAATAAATTTAGGGATTAACCACTTTTTTTAATAAGATTAATATTTAATATGGAACCCTCAAATCTTTGTTTGTAAAACCATGTTCTAAATAGCGTGAAAAGGCACCACCTAACATGAAGCGCTCTGAAAAATGTCATGCATAAGGGCAAGGCGTAGAAAAAAGCAACCATCCCCTATTTTGACCGTCTAATGTGAGCCTAAGTGCCAAAAGGCACACACCATTCTTATATTTATAAAAAAAAAATAAAAAAAATAAAAAAAATAAAAAAAAAATCTAATTTTTAAAAGCAGTTTCTTAAATCTAATGTTTAATGTGACCAAAGTTTTATTCATTTAATGGTTATAGAGTAATTAAAGAAGAAAATACCATTATATGTCTAGACTCGTAGGATTTAAAACTTGACCTTGCTGCCTTATCATACCTTGCACATGTTAAACAAGTGAATAAAGTCTAACTAAAACATTGTAAATGATAAATAAGTACAAAATATTGAATTCGTAATTGCGAGTTACAAGATAAATTTTCCAATAATATCTCTTTGGATCACCCAACTTCGGCCTGTTACAGCCTGAGCTCCACCATCGATAGATGTCAATTCGCTTTTATCAATTGCATTGAATACTTCAAGAGTCACCTCCTTAAGAGAACCAACACATGCAACTATTAAAGTCCAACACCTCATATTAATAATCAGACCTTCGACTTGGTGGAGCATTGTTACACTTTGCTTTCGTGACTGATAGCTAAGCAAAATGCCACATCAGTACTTCTTTGAAGTGTCGCCTCTTCCATCTTCAAGTCCAAGACGATTCTGCCATGTACAATAGAACAATGATCGATTTTTTAGAAATGTACGAAATGTATCGTCAAATATTCAGTATATTTTATAATAGTCCATCAAGTCCAAAGTCTACCTAACACAATCAAGTTAAAATCAATTACTCTTATTTGATTATTATCACAGTATAGGTATTGCTACTTGGGTTAGTCTTACATTTTATTAGTTGATCGAGAAATGCGGTGAAAGTGGACTTAGCCGTGCTACGATACACAAGTCCGTCCAATTGAAGACCAGAAGTTTTGGACTACTTCGCAACCTATATAAATTGACATCTCCAATCAGACATGCCTATCTAACTAAAAAAAGTATGAAAAATGAAAGAATAGACTACTATAACTGATAACTCAAAAGAAAAAGAAAGAGCAAAAGTTCCCTAAGTTTCCTTTGGTCACAAGACTTGAACCTCTTTATAGGAGACAATTGGATGTTACAGTTCCATCTTTATATGCCATCATATGATGTTGACTGTGACTAAATCTTTTCCATAGGACTGCTTCATAGGGGTTCCTTCCTTGCCCTCAAATTTATGGGTTTTGTCACTTTGACTGATATAGTGACGTAATGTGATTTGATGAAAAATCTGATTGTGTTTAAATCAGTCCAATGATCATTGTGACACTCACCACTACTCTTAAGACAATACTAATGCTATTTATCAATTGTAATAATCAACAACCTGGATGTTAAAAGCATGTTATGATGTTATATAATAAAATTGAGGTACTATTTCATCTTTTACTATTCATCGATCCTACTAATATCATTATTCTACTTCAACATTACATGGCAAATTAAAGCGGATCCTGTCAACAAAGACATCACTAGACCAATCCCAAACTCTGTATCTCTCCTCCACTTGAGATCTCTTGGAAAGAGAGTGAAAAGTGGGAAATTGATATTCATACATTATTCCTGTTTGTATATCGTTGCTTTTGAGGAATGTTCTTTTGAAATCGGTGACTTGTAGTGTAATTTAAGATTTTCCTTTTTCTATAAGTGAATTGTTTTTCCAATTGCATGCATGCAATGCAATTGAAGTCCACAGTGGCACGTCAGCTAATGATAATGATTAACCCTATTCTTGGGTAAGTGTTAAGAAAATAAGAGCTCTGCTGTATGGACAGGGCTTAGGAAGCGATGTGGCATCCTCCTATTGGTCGGATGTCTACAACCCTGTCGAAGAAGAATAACTCCGAAAATAATATGATAATGGATAAAATACGTTTGGAAAAAGAAATTGGTCCAACGAGCCACGTAACATAATCATTACTTATGGAATTATACAATGTGTATATCTATCTATATACTCGTGAGGTTAGCATGATTAAGCAAATCCCAGAGTTTGATTTAAAAGGGTATAAACGGATTACATCAATATACTAGAAATTCTTATAGACATTTGCGTCAAAAGACAAATCCTCCCAGTGCCGACCCAAGTCCCTATAGAGGTTGGACTGCACATCCACCATTTTCTATAAAGAAGAAGATAGAGATAAATTTTGAATCATATAAATTGGAATAAAATAAAGCGTTTACTAAGACCGACTTTTTTTATAAATAAATTAAATTTTATATGTTGTATTTAAAATATCATCTGGAAATTGACTTAGAAAATGTGAATGACGAATTTGTTGAATCAAGAACGTACTAAAAGTAAAATATAATATGAATTTTAGGAGTAAACCAGTCTAATCTGGTTTATTTTTAATGGGTTTTAAGCTTTTTAATTTTCATATATCAAATTGAGTTCTAAGGTGGTTTTGATTCTAATTTTTATAACATCACTCATTAGATCCCAATTACGTAATTATAATTTGGTAGTTCATATATCGACAATGCTACAATCATATTGTTCAATGAAATTAAAATATATATTTAATGGAAAAGTAGCCAAATTACTTATTGCATCTTGCGCTCGGGAATGTGAAGAAATACAACTCAAGGCTCGTAACATTGTGTTATTCAAAGTTTTTATTGGAGTTCACAATGACAATATAGGGCATCTTTTGGGAAATGGTGGTCTTCCCATTTGTCGAACTATGGACATCAATCTCAAGAAGATCTGATTCTCTCTACTTTCTCTCTCTTGATTTTACTGCCTTGAATCTTTTGATCGAATCGATCTAAACTCGAGAGGGGCCAACATGAATGTGGGGCTACTTTGGTTTTTTCTTAGGAATTGTTTTATATTATTTTCTAGTTTTTGTTATTTGAAATATTAGGGTACGTAGGTACCAAGCAGGTATAACTTTTCTTTTTCTAAGTTTGTCGAGTTTGAGTCAAAGATTTGTGTAAACCATGAAGAACATACATTGCTTTAATGATTGGGAGTATCCCATTCCAGTTATATATGCCTTTCTCTCTTTAACTTTTAATTTGTGTCTCTTGTAGTTAATCGACAAATCCAGGTCTTCTACTACTTCTAGATAAGTTCTTTTGATTACAAATAGGCAAAGAAAAGATGTTCTATTACAGATTCTATTCTCGAGCTTTTATTGAACTCTTACACTTTAAACTTCATTTGTGTAAAAGGTCTAACGCACTATTTGAAACCGAATTTGGTGTCCACATTAAACTTTAGGCACATCCAGTAATTTTTAATGAACTAGTTGATCAAATCGATACATTGTATTTATACAGGTCACAAATTATTATGTCGGCTAATTTATGGACTTTCTTAGTAGACGATGTCATAATAATATAAAGTAGGATAACTGACGATTTTTCAGAACCGAGTTTAACATTAAAATTTTCGATTTAAAAGTCTCATTCAACACATCATAATGATATTAAACATTGCTTAGCAGTGTAATAAATAAAATCTTGAACTTGTTTCTTTCGCTTAAGAATGCTCGATCTGTCCACTTGTGGTTTATATTATGAATATTCATGACCAGAAAACACACACACACACACACACATATTTGTTGTCTTTTTTGTGTTCACGTGAATCCAAGGTACGGTTACTGATTGTAATAATATGAAACTGTCTGTTGATGAACGGCCTACAATAGCTAACGAAGTGATAGATATTTGAAGACTGGTCATTGCTCTGTTGAATAAACCTAAGGTTGGAATAAATGTCAAGAGTTTTGGATGGGAGTGTGAGGTATATATAAATTTTATTACATTATTCTAAGGTTTGTTCAATTTTTAGGAATATTAATTACAAAGTTAGATAAGGAATTCGTATTCATGTTATTTTGGATGGGAGAATACAGGATACATACACTAATGTGACCCGTGTGTTTAGTAAGTTAAATTACACATAAGAATAAAAAGGGAAAAAAATCGAAGATTATACGGTGTTAGTACCTTAGATTTCACAAGACAACAAGAAAGAAACGTGAACGGCTTGCTTCTATTAGACCTAAATTTGACCGATGTGAGACAAGCTATACAAGTTATTACGGAACAACTCGAGGTAGAGATAAAACAATACGAGGTACTCTTTCACTTAGTCTAGCTTTTGTGCAAGCTTTAATATATGAATTGGTCGTAGCATACTACTTTTATTTGTGAATATGTTTTTTAATCCAAGAAATATGAAAAAAAAAATCGACTTTATATAGTTTAGGACCGTATCTTTATGATATAGAGTTTTAAGGAATTTGCTTAGCAATTGGTGTAGATGTGATAAATTAATGCGTATATAGTCTTAGCAATTGTTCCAATTTTAACGGTTGGAACAGTAACAATTAAAATAACAACTTGAAAATTTTCAATTTCAACGACAAGTTTATAAGATATATTATAACTAGAATTCCCTTTTTTATCAATCTATTTCCTTTTGACGAGATTATATGAGTAAATGTCCAAATCGAAGAAGAGACACTCAGGAGCGTTTGAGCCCCATTATTTATAGATTATAATGAGATGAATAGTATTTTTTTTTTAAATGAGTGATTGAAAAGTTCTTTATTTACGTGTAATATTATTTTATTGAAAACTGTGTGGTTAAAAGTAGAAGAGATAAAAATTTAATTTAATGTAATCAAAAATAATGAGGCGGCTCAGTATCGATATATTTAGGGAACTTAAAAAATAACTTATAATCTACTTAAAGTCAATTTTTAATTTTTACAATAACTATTCACAACCACACATTTCCAATGGGAGGGTGGCAAGACAGAGATACGGAAATGGACAGAAGTATTTGGGATGTATTGAAAGGTTTGAGAGTGAAACCTCGTGATTGGAGAAGCCACATCCATCAAATCCTGTTCCCGCTTGTCACGTGGGTTCGTTTGACTACCCTATGACCAATCAAATACCCCACCCCCCTCTCCACACCAACCCATGGCACCCCACCCCACTCCCTTCATTGCAAATGGCTTTAGAAACCCTTCCTTGTGCATATGAACTTGAATATTAGAATATGTAGACCTTTAAGAGTCTAAGGGTCACCATTATCTATATAAAATTTCATCCCATTATTTATCATCTCGAGTTTCTAAACATATCGAACTTCTCCTAAAACCAAAGTTACTACTCGATTTCAATACGAAATATAGAAGAACGAATAACACGAGAGCTGGATTAAAGCAAAATGTAATAAGATCAAGAATTTTAACTGTTGCCTAAAATAAATTCACACAATAACTAATCATAAAATTTTTTATGATATTATAAATGTAACAAGGACACTATATCCCAGTTGATCTCAATTTTTTAAAATTTATTTTTTTTTAATTGAAGTTAATAATTAATTTTAATCACATATTTTATAGATTTCACAATTTTTTAACTATATATTTCATCAAATTTTGTCAAAATTTACTAAAAATCTAACTTAAATTCTTATCAAATGTAGACGTGTCTCTCTATTTTTATATCATTATACATTTATACTATAATATTATATTCATGGTACAACATTGTTATTGCAATAAAAATGTTGTCAATTGACGACAACTTGGACTGCAGGTGCTGACTGGTATTTCGCCATTTTATAACCTTTATAAAGCTAACAGACAACATAGATCTCACACCCTCTCTTACACTCAAAGCTCTCTATCCTATGTTCCCCATTCAAACCTCATATTATTACGTATCCGTCGCTCTCAACTCACTGTTTACTCCGTACCCTCTTTCAACTACATATTCCCCATTCATTTTCTCATCTTTCAACAACATTTTGTTCTGAAAAAGAGTTGAGAATTCTTCAATATGATGCACAGATGTAATCTGGGTTCATGTTCTTGTGGCTTGTTTCACAGTCAAAACAATTCTTTTTCAATGATGTTTTCTAATGGTTTTGATGAAGGAGGGGATACGGATATGTATTCTTTCACTTCATCTTCTTCGTCTTCTGTTGATTGCACTCTTTCTCTAGGCACGCCTTCTACTCGTGTCAGTGATGAGAAGGAAAAGCGACGCTCTAACTTCGGATGGAATATGGCGGCGCCGGCTTCTTCAGCCAACAGAAACCACCGTGGTGGAAGTAACAGCAATACCAATCCCGGCGGGGACCCGCTCTTGGCTCGGCGGTGTGCGAATTGTGACACCACTTCTACTCCCCTCTGGAGGAACGGTCCAAGAGGCCCTAAGGTTTAATTTTATTTTCAAGAATTTAGTTTTCTTTTCTTTGTTTTTATTGTGAAGAGTGTAGACTAATGGCTATGAATTTGTCAGTCACTTTGCAATGCTTGTGGGATTCGTTTCAAGAAGGAAGAGAGGAGAGCGACAGCAGCCACCGCCGGCGCCACCAATAACGGCGGTGCTGAACACCGAGTTTTGGATAGTTCATGGATTAATTACAACTCACAAACCCAGAATATGCCTTGCTTTACTTCATCATACAGTAATGAATTCAGATTCATTGAAGACGATGATCGTGACTCTGATACAGGCACGCCCTTCCTCTCTTGGCGTTTCAACGTGACAGACAGGCCAAGCCTCGTTCATGACTTCACAAGATAGACAAAAGAAAGAAAGAAAAAAATCTTAACAATTCGACTGAATATGATTACTATTGAACACTGCACTCTAAATGTACTCGATATTAAGAAGCTTATTTTATTCTTTTCTTTCACTTTTTTTTTTGCCCCTCATCTTACATAAGATGTAGTGACAATGAATTGATTCTAATGTTTGTTATTTACTTTTCTTTAGCTTTCACTTTTTTCCCCTTTGATCAGTCATCAGTCTATACATACTTCTACTTTTTTCCGATTGCCCATTTCACTTCTGTTATTACTTATTTTCTATTGTAAACTTGCTTATTTTGAATTTCTTGAGCACCTGAATTGCATAACTGGTACATTGGTAATCTACTATTATTTTTCTTTGGACTATGCTGTGTGTATACAATGGTATACACACGGTTTTACATTACCTCACATAGAGGGAGGTCCACACGTAATAAAATATCCGTGAGCCTCCCTTCATATGAGGGGAGCGTAAAGCCATGTGTACACCACAAGGTGTACACACGGCATTTTTCTTTTTGTTTTATTCTGAACTCAGGCTTGTAACCGGCGGTCCATGTTCTCCTCTTTATCTGCACCTAAAGAAAAATTAACAGTAGCTCCAGGTGTTTTTTTTTTTTTTTCCTTCTATTTTTTCTTGGCTGGTAACATGAAATGATTGAAAACGATAACAATAATGAGCTATGCTATATGTACATAATATTCATGTGGGCCCCCCACCATGTGAGTGGAGGCACCCATTATGTACAAAATATTATGTACAACAAGTTTAATCTAACAATAATACGTTCAAAAACGCACTGATTGTGAGAATATTTACACATTTTAGAAGAATCTCCCGAAATTCTTAATTCAATACAAAAGCAAAACTAGAATTGGAATAAAGATTAAAAGTCTTTGCCTGGTATCAATCTGCTGTTCTTTTTCATGGATATGCTAGAACTGAGTACATACCTCCTTTTAGAAACTATCCCTAGAAGAAGTTTATTCTAAAATTGACATAATGTCTCTTTTGGTAAGATTTCTGATTTTTATTTTGCTTTTGCTTCTGTTTCTATTTCTTATAGAAGGACTTAATGATGAAACTATTTAGATCAATTTTCCCTAAAAACTCTACTAGCAAGACGAAACACTTTCAAAAATAATTTAAATATGTTCAATTCTAGCGTTAGAAATAGGTTTCAACTTTTCAAAACCTTGTAGGTGGGCTAATTACCAAAAATCAAGAACCTAGACATCTATTTAATTTTTTGGACCAACAAAGACCTTAAACCAAACCAAGTTTAAACTCCCACGTATCCACAATAAATTTTTTTTGCTCTGCGTGTGGTGTGCATATCAGAATTAGAGTTTAATTTACGACAAGATCGAATCCAAAATGTAACGCCTCGAATTCTAATAACCCGAAACGTTACGAAACATGAATATACCTTAAAATAAACAGTTTTAATTTAACGAGAAATTCTGTAAAAAATTGAATAACGTTTAATCAAAAGATAAATTTAAATATGCGGAACGTTTGAAAACATATCATTCATCCAAAAATTATTAGAACAATTAAAACTAATTGAAAATTTATAATGCACTCACAATTGGGTCAAAAATGAATAACCCATTATTAGTTCTAGTGTTTTTTAAAATTAAAATACTTCATGACGAGGATCCGTTGGTCCAATAGCAAATCCATCCACCGTCATCCAGCATACTAATTATTACCTGAAAATTGTAAATAAGGGGATGAGTATAACGAATTATACTCAATGAGATACTTGCTACTCCACATTCAAGTCAAACATGAAATTACAAATAAATTATCTTACCAACATAACATGAGAATTATCACACCATGACAAATGATAATTCTAGCAAGCGCTGCAAAATAACGTGAAGGCTAAATTGTGCCTTGAAAATAACGTGAAAGCTAAATTGTGCCTTAAAATGTATCATGATTTCTCCCGAAGGAGCCTGAATTGAAGTAATTAAATTCATAATAACGTATTTGAAAAGATGTGGAAAAATCACTAATAGCACTGAGTATCTCACCTTTTAAAGATGAAAGTGGAGAATAAAATTGCAGAAATGTGATTGCAATTCCAAAGCCATAAAAAATCTAAATAATATAGAGGAATATTTTAAAGAGGGAGAGGTAATGGACGTGTAGTAAAATGTGATTTTAGTGCTCTATTTATACTGTTGAAGTCGGGTAATCACGTGGGGGAAGTGGAATTTTAGCCATATTTAAATTCGTATTTCATGCAATCTTCTGAGAAATTAATTCATAATTCCCGATTGATATAGTATGACTGGAGATTAATTATTGGTTTTCTGCCAATTTCTATATCAATTACAATTACAACAAGGAAATGATAGGCATTACACTGCATGACTTTTACACGTGGATGGGGAAAACAAATTGCCTCCTATTTGCATAATTTACTCTAATACAAACATCTTAAATTGTCAATCTCCTAATGGCCGAAAATTATAAAATGTATGCTTATTAATTAAATTAGAATTTCAGTCCAATCTTCCCAAAATTTGTTCCAATTAGGGGACACAATGATTACTAATTATATGGACACATGAAAGTTGTAATGAAATGCATGGGTTACTCATGTACTAAAGTCTAATATCAAATAATTCAAAATTCTTTGATTTGCATTTAACTAAATTTGTAAGCAGGAATTACGTTTTAATTGATTACCTCTTAATTAAAAATGTATAATTATTAATACTTAACATAAAGACTTTGTTTAACCAAAACTTAAAATTCTAATTTATTTAGCTAAACTAGTGGTGGCAGTCAACTGGCGAAAAATCTAATCTTTTAAAACTCTTATAACCATAATATTCTTTAAACGGCTAAAACTCGGGTTTAACTTGACCAAATTAAATTTTTCTTGAGTCCATAATTCGCCATTTATTATGAGCTTCAAAATGAACCCAATATTGGTAGAGTAATTCTAACTCCTTCAATAGTTAACTATTTGGCCCATTTAATAAAGTATAAAATAATTTGATATTTATTTTTTTTTCAATTTGGTCCCTCAACTAATAAGATAACTATAGAGATAATCAATTAACTTGCATAAGAACTTAACCAAACATTGCATTCCTATTAAATGACAAATAAAAATATATGCGAATTTAAGTTAAAAATTCGGTATTCTACACAAAAAGAAATAATTTCATATAAAAAACAATACCACTTTTAATTATTAATTCTCTGAAGTTAAAATTTGGTCCTGTGTTTGCTATTGATTTATGTGGAAATTACACAATACCATATATTAAAAAATTCCAAATTTCAAAATCAGATGGAAAGTTTCACTATTCAAAAATTAAAAAACCCTAATGTTCTCACTTATTTTTTCTCTAAGATTTAATAAATCAATTCATCCCAAATCATTCATTCTCTCTCTCTCTCTCTCTCTCTC